ATATGTATATGTATATGTATATGTATATGTATATGTATATGTATATGTATATGTATATGTATATGTATATTTATTTATTCATTGTTTGATTGATTGATTTTCTGGGTGGTTCACAACACAAAATTAGACAATCATCGACTAGGACTGCTACCCACCAACTCATTTGCAGCAGAGAGCCATAGAGCAATTAAGGAAGAAGCATGCGTTTAAAGGAAGAGGCTAAAAGAAAAGTAGCAGGAAAAAAGGGAAGAGGAGACCAAAAGTTCTGCCAGGAAGAATGCAAGGCTGGAGCCTCATCAGTCCAACGCCTGGGGTTGCCTGAAGGCTGAGGAGGACCGCTGGAAATCCGGTTTGCCACTCTAGTGAGGTGTGCAGCCAACAACTGTGCCGGGAGAAATAGGTTCAGGAGCAGTGTAAACTGTGCATAAAGGACTTGCAAGCTGTATTTTCTTTATCCTGATTTATCTATCCGGTGTTGGAATCAGAGGGCTAAGACCTTGCTATTTTATTTCAAGCTGAGATGTTTCTGTTTGCTTTCTGTAACCAAACGGAAAACCCAGAGTGAAGCCAGTTAGATAAACATCAGAGTACGTGTCATACCTGCCTTATAGTGCGGGGTGTGTGTGTGTCTGGTAAGAGCTAAGACATCTCTGCACTGATAACACGGGGATTTTTGCTGAGACTTTACTGGATGGAGAGAAAGGTTAACAAGGTCCCAAAGGAATTTTTTTTTTTGCTTAAAGAACGAGCAAAAAGTATTAGTTAGGTTTTGATAGCTATTATTATGCATCAACCAGGTTGCTGACTGGGGCTGGTTACAGAGACCACATAAACCCCCTGTTACAGGAGATCCACTGGCGGCCAATCACTTACTAGGCACAATTCTAATTGCTCGTTTTAACTTATAAAGCCCTAAACGGGCTGGGTCCAAGCTATCTCAAAGACCGTCTCTCCCATTATTAACCTGCTCAAGTGTTAAGATCATCAGGAAAGGTTTTTCTCTTGGTCCTGCCACCTTCACAGGTGCGTTTGGTGGGGACACAGAAGAGGACCTTCTCTGTGGCTGCTCCCAGACTTTGGAACTCCCTCCCACAAGAGGCCAGACTGGCTCCGTCTTCACTGTCCTTCCACAAGCAGGCAAAGACTTTCTCTTCAGGCAAGCCTTCCCTCAGCAACTAGCTACTGGTGTGTGAATTTTTAGATGGATTGTTATGCATTACTGCTGTGAGTGAATTTCTAGTACTCCTTGTGTTTCCCATTTCTCAGAGTGCCGTTGGTTTTTCTTTTTTAAATGTTAACTGTTCTTAGCTTTAATATTGCCTTTTAATGATGTAAGGTGCCTAGTGACTCATTGTTCTTAGCTTTAAATATTGTCTTTTAATGATGTTAACCACCGTTGTAAGCCGCCTTGAGTCCTTTTCAAGGAGAACAGTGGAGTAAAAAATATTTTCAATCAATCAATCAATCAATCAATCAATCAATCAATCAATCAATCAATCAATCAATCAATCAATCAATCAATCAATCAATCAATCAATCACCAAACTATTCATATTTGGGACAGAGGCACATGCATTTAAGACAAACTGAATGTCAAAAGATATCAAAAGGGTGGCTTGTTGTCATTCAGGGCCAAGGATTTGTTTCACCTCCTCATAGTTTGGCTTCAAATTACTGTGTAGTCAACCTGGTATATGATGCTGAACTTCCTTCCTTCCTTCCTTCCTTCCTTCCTTCCTTCCTTCCTTCCTTCCTTCCTTCCGACATCTTTAACACTTATGGGGCAGCGAGATACACAATCCCCTCCAGACTGGAAATAGCAATGTTGCATTTGGTCAGTGTAGATGGCCTTCCTTTCAATTTCTTTTTGACACATTTACTAAAATTCATGAATTATGTATTTAGAGTAAAAAATCCTAGAAAAATACCCAATGGGAAGATTCCCACCTCTCTGCTATGGGACTGAGGCTGCTAAGGGTTGTTATTCACCTTTAAAAATATATATACATACGAGTGAACTTCATTAAGGAAGTCACAGCCTTGAATTTGTGAGGACTTAGTTGAGAACAGGACATTCTGGAAGGGTCATTCCAGAATGTCATTCATAAGGTCACGGTAAGTTGGAGGCAAGTTGACAGAGCGCATGACAACCACAACATACGAATAGCATGCCTGCATTTCATGGCATGTCTGACTGGGACTGGAGATAACACCAATGCAAGACCAGAGGCCAAAACAAAGGCAGAAAATAAATCTTTTAAAGAAGTCCAACATCATTAGAATGCTTGGTCCAAGTGGAGGAAGGAACGTGGGCAAGCTCAGAGGGTTTATAAGGACCCAGAGTCGGTGGGTTGTGAATATGAGAGAAGAAAAGGTGAACAGAATCAGAAGGTTAAGAGGGGGAAGGGAAAAAATTACTTGAAACACCTGTGTGCATGAGATAAGATGAGAGGACAGGTCTTGTTGCTATTCCCACACTTCTACAAGGTTTCACAAGTCTTTATAAATGAACTGGTAGGTACGTGTTTGTTGAACATGTGTACTAGTTGGATAGTAAGAAAGCCAGGATCATGTACCTGACAGAGTGACAGTGTCGGAGTGACAGAGTGACAGTGTCAGGAGACTGGAGCTCAGATTCCTACTCATCCACTCCCTAAATATCTCACTTACCATGAAAACTCTGTTAGGGTCACTAGAAGTTGGATGTGACTTGATCATAGAATCACAGAATCATGAAGTTGGAAGGGGCCTATGAGGCCATCAAGTCCAACGCCCTGCTCCATGCAGGAACACAAGTCAAAACATATCTTCTAGGTGGTTGTCTAAGTTACTCTTGAATGTCTCCAGTGTTGGAGCGCTCCCCATCTCTTGAGGTCATGGGTTCCACTGTCTTACTGCTCTAACGGTGAGGAAGTTCTTCCTGATGATACATAACCAACAAGTGTGTTGGTTGTGGAAGAGGTGGCCCTGTTCCTCTGTGCAAGCATTACAGGTAAAGTCAACATAAAGATAAATAAATAAATAAAAAGAAAGCTTTCATTAAAAGACAGCAGTACTCTTTAAGGCGTCATCATGTTTTTGTCTTTTTAATTTATTCTTTTATTTTTAATTTTTCCTTTACCTATAAAATTTGTTAGGAAGCAGCAGCAGTCTATGCTATGAACATAATTCTAGAACTGTGGGGCTGAAAGGGACCCTCTGGACCATCGGGTCCAGGCCCTGTCAAGGAGGCACATGGTGGGGAATCGAATTCCCAACCTTTGGCTCTGTAGCCAAATGCATTTTTTTTCAATATAGTAATAATAATATAAAAAAGGAAGGACAAAAGGGAGGGGGCCAGCCTGTCTTCTCAAGACAGTGCGTTCCAAACCTTGAAAGCAGCCACAGAGAAGGCCCTCTCTGCACGTCTTCATCAACTGAGCTTGGGGAGGTGGTGGAACTGAGAGGAAGGCTCCCCAGAAAATCTGAAAAGCTGAGAAGGCACATATGGGGTGATACGATCCTTCAGATTGCCTTGACCCAAGCTATGTAGAGCTTTATGGGTAATAACTAGACACGAGCTTTTCGTATACGTATCCCTGGGGATACAAATATGAACAGCGGCACCACAGGCGCCCTGGGGGCCCAATTATCTCCCCCCAGGAACACCCGGTCCAATCATCAGTTGCCACACAGTGCTGGGGTCCTTTGTTCTTCTCATTGCACAAATCCGGGAAGGATCCTGATCAGCATTTCCCTGCCTCCCCGCGCAGCCAGCCACTCATCAACTGAGCGGGGAGACTCCCTGTCCCACCGCCTCACCAGAGTGGTTGGCTGCATGGGGAGGCACCAGCCCAGTTTCTTCCCGGATTGGTGCAACGATGGAGCTCAGCATGGTGTGGCGACCCGTGAGTAAACTGGCCGGTTCTGGGGGAAGGGTATGCTGACCACTGTGGCAGCTGCGGTGCTGCTATAATGAATAAGCAGCACGTTGAATTGGGTCTGGAAACAGACTGACAGCTCTAAGAGGGTTTTTGAGATATGTGAGATGTTCAAGGAGTCATTTGCTGTTTCTACCCAGATTGAATTTCCATGGCTGAGCCGGGATTGAAACCCAGATCTCCTGAGTTCTAGTCTATTTATTACACCATACTGGCTCCTTTTGGCACTTCACCTCCTGTAAAAAGGGTCTCTAGTAATAGGAGATTGGAGCCAATTCATGGGACCTGTTCCTCAATACACTGGAATCCAGACTCCATACTGAATAGACTAATGGCATGAGTCTGCATGAGAGATGGGGGCAAACTGGGAAACCGGTGGTTTGCAGTTTGTGGTTAACCCCGAACTGCCATGAACCCCTAGAAAAATGAACTGGTTTGTGGTTTGTTTTTCCAGTTCATGCCTGCCCTCCCACTTGCTCCTGCTTCCACCATAGGGAATTGCCTCTGAGCATGCGCTCACCTATCCGTTGAGTGGTGGACACTTAGAAGCAGAGGCCTGGCTTCCCGGAGCGGGGGATCGCCTGTGAGGATAGCGCCCATGGCAGTGTCGGTGGCGGGAGCAGGAAGGTGGAGGTGGGGGGGAGCAGTGGGAAGGAAGTAGACAGACATTCCCTTTGCTGAAGCAAACACAACACCAACGGGGCGGGGGGAGTTTGGTGCTTCATTTTGCTTTGGCAAATGGGATCCCCAAAAGGCATTGTGAAATGAACTCTGAACCAGCACAGTTGGTCAGGGTTTGTGGTTCATCTCACACCCATCTCTGGTCTGAACAATATCTTCAAAATAACAGGAACGAGAAATCTTTGGCTTGTGGGTCACATGGAGCCTGAAGGGGATCCCCCATCCATCCATCCGTCCGTCCATCCGTCCGTCCGTCCGTCCGTCCGTCCGTCCGTCCGTCCGTCCGTCCGTCCATTCATCAACTAGCCCACCCACCCATTGATCCATTGATCCATTGATCCATCCATCCATCCAGTTCCTCCGCTTTTCTCTCCCATCAGCGATCATTTCAAAGAACATTTCAAGATTTTTCAGCTTCAGGCATCCAGCATTGTACTGAGCTTTCTTTTGCACACAGGAAACCTGTGGAGCAGAACTGAACTGACCAGAGATACTAGACCGGTGCTGTGCTTTGTATGCTTGGAAGGAAAAATGCCCAGCAGGGTTACCTCTGTCCCTGGTCGTTTTATTGTTCACACCTTCCTCCTGGTTCTTATTGCCATCCATTATGGAAAAGTGTTCCAAGGATCCTGGTCCAATTGGAATATGATTGTTAGGCCACAAAATGCCGCCACCCCCACCCCCACCAATTTATGGCCTCTTTCTACACGGATAAAGACGAAACAAAAGATATAAGAAGGCTTTTGATATTTTATTTTTAAGCACCATTTTTTTTAAAACTGTGAGGACAGAGATATTCCAACCTTGTTCCTGTCATGTGTTCAGCCTTTTGAGACATCAGGAAAAACGACAAAAAAAGAGTCTATAGAGAAGATAATTGAAGCATTTTTCTGGCTACTTCTGTGTTATGTTGCAAATCTTGTTCCTGTTAAAATAAAGCCCCACTCTCCCAACTGGCACAACAGATTTTGCAGTGTGCATTTAGTTGCCTAAATTGTAGCAGCACGTCATTGAATTACTGCCACACAAGGGGATGGCTACCAGGGTGCGGGATAGAACATTCTCGCGATTTCATCAAGTCTCATCTCCGTTTTTCCCCCCCCACTTGGTGTTTACCACAGGGGCTAGAAACTTTAAAACTAAGGACAACTTGGGCAAAGCGATCCGGCACAGTCTTTCCTGTAAGAGGGAGTAGATGTTTGCAAACTATTGAAATCTCCTTGGAGCGGGCAGGTGAGGAAAATCTACACAACACTTTATTAGCTGGTTTCTTCATCCGGCCATCCCTTCCTTATCGTGCAAGACGTTCCATTAATCCAAGCTGAAAAAATGTACTTTTCCTGGACATAACTGAGGACCTGGGGCTACCAGCACTGGTTGCAATGGTGGGGCAGCCCCCACTTCTCTTTTGACCACGGCAGGTTGTACTGCAGGTACTATAGCCTCAGCCGAGTGCGACTCGTGGGATGCGTGTGTGTCGTTGTGAGAATGAATGAGGCTGAGGACAGTGTGGCCAATTCCAGGGGAAATAATCTTTCCTCCTAAGTGATGCTCGGTCCAATGAGTATGAAAAGCTCCAGCCTGAAAAAGAAATTATATTAGGTCTAGTCTGCTTTTGCTATTTTGAAGGTGATTAGAGGAGCATGTCGCTCGTTATTTGATCCATTGTTGGTGCAGTTTGATTTGCAGTTTGATTTGCCCTGTTTCCCAGCAATCACGAGTATTCTATTGATTGATTTCAAATATTTTACACCACCTTTCTCCTTAGGAAGGACCCAAGGCGGTTTGTACCATGAAAAGACGGTATTTTAAACCTAACGGGGATGAGTACACAAATACAAAAAGGACGACACAAATACTGTACTAAAAAACATAACCAACACCGAAACATTAAAATCAGTCAGGTACAGCAACCTGCAACCAAATTCCACTCAGGCAGGCAGGCCCTGAGGAAAAGCTTGCCTGAAGAGAAAGATTTTTGCCTGCTTGCAGAAGGACAGCAATGATGCGGCCAACCTAGCCTCCAGTGGGAGGGAGTCCCAGAGTCTGGGAGCAGCAAGAGAGAAAGCTCTCTCCCACGTCGCCACCAAACACACTTATAAAGATAGTGGAACTGAGAGAAAGGCCTCTCTTGATGATCTAGACACTCAAGCAGGCTCAGAAAGGGAGATGCAGTCCTTGAGATAGCTTGGGACTAAAAGTTAGCAACAGAAAGGGATCAGTAGCCAATGGAGCTGCTGTAAGAGGGTGGTTATGGGATCCACATGACCAGCTGCAATTAACCATCTGATTGCTCCAGTTTGAACCTGCTGAAATGTCCTGACATTTTCCATAAGCAGGCCCACGTAGACAGCATTACAGTGGAGCCTCGCTTAGTTGAAATGTCCTGACATTTTCCATAAGCAGGTCCACTTAGACAGCATTACAGTGGTGCCTCGCTTAGCGACGTTAATTCGTTCCACAAAAATCGCTGCAGAACGAAAATGTCGCTATGCGATATTAAAAAGCCCATAGAAACGCATTGAAACCCCTTCAATGTGTTCCTATGGGCTTAAAACTCACCGTTGAGTGAAGATCCTCCATAGCGCCGCCATTTTCGGTGCCTCTAAAGCGAGGAATCCGTCCCTAAACACAGCGGGCACCCATGTTTTTCCCCCAGTGGCCGTTTTGAAACCGCCGATCAGCTGTGTGAAAATGGGGGCTTTGCGATGATCGCTTCCCTGCGATCATCGCAAAGCAAAAATACCCCATAGAGAACATTGCAAAGCGATCGCTTTTGCGATCGCAAAAACAGCGTCACTAAGCGATTTGGTCATTAAACGGAGTGATTGCTAAGCGAGGCACCACTGTATAGTCATCTACCTAGGATGTGTCACTGTGAACAGATTAGACTTTCCCAGTAATAGGTGCAGCTGGCACACTTATTTTAATTGTGCAAATGCACTCCTGGTCACCACCGAAACCTGGGCATCCAGGCTCCAAGATGAATCCAGGAGCACCCTACAAGCTGCACACCTACAAGCTGCACACCTGTGTTTAGAGGAGGAAGATGAATCCAGGAGCACCCTACAAGCTGCGCACCTGTGTTTAGAGGAGGCGCGCACAGGCTGGATCCCGATTCCTTGATCTGCCTTTCGCTTGACTAGAAGCACCTCTGTCTTGTCTGGATTAAGTTTCAGTTTATTCACTGAAGCCACCCAGTCTATTACTGTCATCAGGCCCCTATCCAGAGCCAGAACAACATCCACAAATTTAGATGGCAAGGAGAGACACAGTTGGGTGACATCCACATACCGGTGACACCAAATCCCCAAATTCTGAACAGTTTCATGTAGATGTTAAATAACATAGGAGACAAATAGAAATCAGAGGGATCCCCACTGTTCAGCACCCAGGGTTCAAGAGTTCTCCACCTTCTGAGTTGTCTCTTCCAGGAAGGAGCAGAGCCACTGTAAAACAGTGCCTCCCAGTCCCATTCCAGAGAGACGGCTCCATAGGATATCATGGCTGATGGTACTGAAAGCCACAGAGACATCCAGTAGAACCAACCGGGACATATTCCCCTTGTCCAGTTTTCAGCATAGGTCATCCACCAAGGTGACCAGAGCAGTTCTCTGTTCTCTAACCTGGCCCGAAGTCAGATAGAAACAGATCTAGATAGCCTGTCTCAGCCAGGAACCCCTGGAGCTGAGAAGCTATGATCTGCTATTCCAATACCTTGCCCAAGAACTGACTATCAGAGAGAGGTCAGTAATTAAACAGTCGTGCCTCGCTTAACGATTGCCTTGCTTAACGAGGAAATCGCTTGACAATTAGGTTTTTGCGATCGCAAAAGCGATTGCAAAACAATGGTTTAAATGGGAAAAATCCACTTCATGATGATCGGTTCCCTGCCTCGGGAACCAATTTTTGCATTACCACGATCTAAAAACAGCTGATCGTCAGGTTTCAAAATGGTTGCTGGGTGAACAAAATGCCCCCCCCCCGTTTTCTAGGACGGATTCCTCACATTACAGGCAGCGAAAATGGCCGCCCCTATGGAGGATCTTTGCTGGACGGTGAGTTTTCAGCCCACTGGAACGCATTGAAGAGTTTTCAATGCGTTTCAATGGGCTTTTTTATTTCACCTAACGAGGATTTCGTTCTACAGTGATTTCGCTGGAACGGATTATCCTCGTTAAGCGAGGTACCACTGTACAGTATTATGGGATCTAAGGAGGTCTTTTTCGACAATGGTCTTACTATTGCCTCTGTTAAGCATGCTGGGATCCTACTCTGTTGCAAGAGGATATTCACCGGCATATTGACTCTGGTGAAGGTGTGGAATGCTGATGTGTAAATACGGGTGGGAGAAGGGGAAAGAGAGGGTTGAGGAATCACCAGGCAGTCCTATCATAGGTAGACTGCTGAACCCCGTGGGCTGTAGGATCAGATAGTAGAAGAGGACAGAAGGTTCTGTCTGAAGCACTGGCGTGGTAACATCTGGTCATCCACCCAAAGCCGCTGGGCCACAAACCACGTGCAGGCCTCTCTGCTGAACAAGTTGTATAAATGGGGAGGGGAGAATAAGAGGAGGAACTCCTCTAAAATCTGTACCTGTTGTTCGTAGACTGAGCAGTGTACGACATCCTTGGGAAGAGTCTGGCCAGTAGGAACATTATGATCAAAAACAGTTGCCTTGCAGAACCCAAATTGCTAAAAAAGGAGGAGAAGAACATGTAAAAACAGAATGGAAGTACAAGGAGGAACATGCAGTAGTTTTTTCGCGAAGGCTTTCATGGCTGGGATCTAATGGTTGTTGTGGGTTTTTTTCGGGCTCTTTGGCCGTGTTCTGAAGGTTGTTCTTCCTAACGTTTCGCCGGTCTCTGTGGCCGGCATCTTCAGAGGACAGCACTCTGGGGGCCCTACTGTAATTTGTTCCCATTACTCATTCTTGTCTTCAGGGGTCCTACTGTAATTTGTTCCCATTACTCGTTATCGTCTTCAGAAACAATGCGGCCAAAGAGCCCGAAAAACCCACAACAACCATACAGTCGTTTCTTAGCCATGCAATACCAGGCAAAAGGATGTCACTTTTCATTCTTATCCAGACTGATAATGGAAACCGAATGGTGGCTGGTCTACAGCAGGCCCACCTCAGACTCAAATTATCTCCAGCCTGAGCCTGATCAGTTCTAGGATGTATCGGAGAGAACCTGCTTCTGTTTTCTGCATATATTTGAAGACCTGCCTGCCTTTGTGTGTCTATGGACCCTCTTATATGCCTGCATGTCTTTCATCCCCGGTTGCTCCTCAGCCACTAACCACAATGAATAAGTCACCTGCCACCAAACGGATTCGCAAACTGAGAAGTGGCCAAGCTCTGCTGGGACTCCCGATATGGGCAAAGCTAATTAAGCAAGGAGCATTTTTTATGTGTTTATAATGCAGTCTAGAATGGGACAGATAGCTCAGTGGTTTAGGTCTCTGGCTGTGAAGACAGAGGATGGGAGTTCGATTCCCCTGTTGTGTCTCTCCAGAGAGAAGAGCCAGCCTGGGTGGCCTTGGGCCAGCTGCAACATCCTAGGGCGCCTCCAGAAGAAAGGAATGGGGAAACCACTTCTGAGTATTCCCTACCTTGAAAACCCTGAAAGTGGTCAACATAATAATTATTATAATGGAGTCTGCAGGAATATACCAAGGCTATATTCTGCGTCAGACACAGAGAGAAAGCAGAGAATGAATGGGATACGTGGCAAGTGGTCTGGAGTATCTACTCCATTAGAACATACAAGTGGACCATGGGATTTATAATGTAAAAACATCACAAGTCATTCAAGGGCTGACCCTAGCCTATGTCCACCCCCCATCCAGGGGTTGCTCCATTGGCAGCCACTATTTCCAAAATCCTCAGCCATTCTGAGAACCATATGGGTTGGAAGATTCTAGGACATGTAGTCCCCCAAAAGTAACTTTCCTAAGTTCCGGCATCAGGAGAGGATCTTGGAAGCCTCAAGCATGCTGTCTTGGAAACTTTGCTACAAAAAAGGTGGATGGTGTGAAATCAGTAGGGTTGCAAACCTATTCACTCCACCCTCCGCACATTCCATCTGCTTCTGCTTAATTAAAGGCCTGGTTTACCTGCTTTGCAGAAGCAGTTGCCTGCCTCGTTTTTTGTCCCTGAACAATTTTGCATCATTTTTTTTTTTACGGAATCATCCCTACTATCTATTATTTATGTCTGTATTTACTTATCTATATTATTTGCACTTACTGAATGCTCGCCTGTCAACGGTTTGCAGTCTTGTGCGAGGTCCTGAGCCTCTTGGGCTGAGCAGTTAGAGAGAACTATAGCAAACTCCACATGGGTAGCTGGAGGCAAAACCTGGGAAGACATGAATTAAAATTTTATTCTTGTCTGTGAGGAAACTATAAAATAGAGGAGTCAGAAGCAGATTTTGGAAAGCTTCTTTCTGAAAGAACAGTGGGACCTCCCATATCCACGATATCCACTGACCCCCTTCTGCATCGACTGAAAATATTAAAAGTATTAAAAGAAAAATCCTAGAAATATGGCCACAGGAGGGAGCCAGAGACTGTGCTTTGTATAGCATTTGCTAGGGAAATGTATTTCCGTGATGTCATTACCAGAACTGGGCACTAGAGGGAGCCAAAGACCACACTATTTATAGTCTTTGTTGTTAAAATAGTGTTTGCTATAATCCACATTGTCCAGTATCCGCGAGGGGGGGCGGCAGTTTAGAACTGATCCCCCATGGATATGGGGGTCCTACTCTAATTTGTTCCCATTGCTCATTATCATCTTCAGAACCAACTCATTGTTGGAACTTATTACAGTGTCATAAAAATGTCATTATCTATTTCTTTAAAAAAAAAAAACTTTGCAACTTAGGACTGAGAAAAGAATGACATAACACCTGAAAAATGCCTCCCACAATACCCTTTAAAATGGACTGTCCTTGCTTGAATACTTACTGAGATCTGCCCACGTGAGATCTCCAGGAGCTGGTAGTGGATGCTGTTATTTTCGGCGTTGAAATGGGCAAGGGCCGTATTAACTGCGCTCACCACATTGGCGTTATTCAAAGGCAATAGCAGGGGACAGTCAGGGCAAAGTCTTACGACGTCTTCAGCTGAGTCTAAGGAAAACAAAGACAGGCATGCTTTGTTCTTGGTTTTTCAATGGGTAGCGCTGATGTGCAGTCAATACTGAACATTTACAACAGCTAATCTGATGTTTGTACATGGCCACTGGTCCTGTCACCTCCTGGCAAATAGAAGGGGAAGATATGGAGGCAGTGACAGATTTTACTTTCTTGGGCTCCATGATCCCCACAGATGGTGACAGCAGCCATGAAATTAAAAGACGCCTGCTTCTTGGGAGGAAAGCGATGACGCACCTCAACAGCATCTTAAAAAGCAGAGACATCACCTTGCCGACAAAGGTCCGCATAGTCAAAACTGTGGTTTTTTTGGGGGAGCGATATATGGAAGTGAGAGCTGGACCATAAAGAAAGATGACCGCCGAAGAATTGATGCTTTTGAATTGTGGTGCTGGAGGAGGCTCTTGAGAGTCCCCTGGACTGCAAGGAGAACAAACCTATCCGTTCTGAAGAAAATCAACCCTGAGTGCTCACTGGAAGGACAGATCTTGAAGCTGAGGCTCCAGTACTTTGGCCATCTCATGAGAAGAGAAGACTCCCCGGAAAAGACCCTGATGTTGGGGAAGTGTGAAGGCAAGAGGAGAAGGGGACGACAGAGGATGAGATGGTTGGACGGTGTCATCGAAGCAACCAACATGACTTTGACCCAACTCCGAGAGGCAGTGGAAGACAGGAGGGCCTGGCATGCTCTGGTCCATGGGGTCACGAAGAGTCGGACACAACTTAATGACTAAACAACAACAACAAAATCTGATGTTTATAGGTGCCTACATCCTTTGCAGTGGTGGTGGTGGTGGGGAAAGGAGAGAACTATTTATTTGTTCCCTGTCTTTCCAGAGAGGCATACTTAGAACTGTTCCATTGATAGCCATCTAAGCTTCCTGCGATGTGCTGATCTTAATAGGAGCTCCCATCAAGACAATATGTTTCCTGTCTCACAATGTAAAGGCATGCGAGGGACTCCCCGCCACCCCCAGGAGTCCCCACACTTTTTAAATTCCTCCTTGGTTTGTTCTGTGCATCTTGTGCCACTTTCTTCCCCAGTCTGAAGATTTCTTTTTTGTCTGTCTGTCTGTCAGTTTTGAAAGGACCATCGGGTCTGCATTCAAAAAGGTGGGCAAGTTTAGCATTATAGCACCTCCCAATATGCAAGCAGAGTTCACACGGACAAAAAAAATAAAATATCCCATGACAGATAGGAGTGAAGGAGCCAAGCAGCAGAATAAGAATACTGTTCCAGATTGGTCATTCCCTATAAGTTCCTTTAAGTTTCTTGTCAGGCAGAGATCTTAATAGGAATAAAATGTTGGTACCGAGCTCATAGTTTGTGCCTCGGTATGCAAAGAGAAACCTACGGCTGACCTTCCGCTCAGTGTACAAATCACTCATCACACTGCTTTGGTTACCTGTTGGTTCAGCGAAAAGGGAGTGATTTAGCAAGAGAGGTGCCTCAGGAGCTGAAGTCTGGATACATATCTTGGTGAATTCCATGCTTTCGTGATAAAAAAGGGGGGCATAATGGGGAGGTACAAATGCCCCATCTGAAAGAGCCTGCAGTTACAGAGCTGGGAAATGACAGTGAATTCTTAAGTGCCCCACATGGCTAAAAGCTTGCTGAGCTTATAAAAGGTCATCTAAAGTTGTGCTGAACCCAGACCTCTTCCAATGTATAGATATTGAAGACCATTTTGGATTATCCTTGCCAGTGTTGGTGCAGTGGTTAAACTACTGAACTGTGGCCAAATCTCGGCTCACGACTCAGGGTTCAATCCCAGGTAGCCGGCTCAAGGTTAACTCAGCCTTCCATCCTTCCAAGGTTGGTCAATTGAGTACCCAGTTTGCTGGGGGAGCAAATGTGTAGCCTGCATAATTAACTTGTAAACCGCCCGAGAGTGCTTTAAGCTCTCTTGGGAAGTCTATTTGCATCTTAGTGTGTTTTATTTGCATCTTAGTGTGTTTTAATTTAGTACAGTATGCCAATAAAGGTTTCTGTCTGTCTGCCACTATTGGGAAATATATAAGTACCATGCCTTGCTTTGCTTTTTGCTGTGCCAGCATTGTGGCCGGAAGAAGTTTAGATCTGAAGTAATTTTGATCCTTCTTGGCCCCTATTTTTACCACTTTGTTCGGCTCTTCTGCCAGAAGATCGCAGCCACCAAAACAGTTCCGGAAGAAGGTTCTATTTGTAAAACGGGCATTTGTGCCAACAGAAGATCCTTGTTCCTGATACTACGCCCTCACAGGGGACGCCTTTGAGTTGAGAATACAGGGTTACTTTTAAAAAGCAACTGGATGCACTGCTTGCTGCTTGTTTTTCTGATAACTTTCATTCCTTTGCTTGAATCAAGCAGCAACCTAGGATTGGCAATGAATGAATGAATGAATGAATGAATGAATGAATGAATGAATGAATGAATGAATGAATGAATGAATGAATGAATGAATGAATGAAAAGGCACAACACTGGAATAGGGATGAATGAATGAATGAATGAAAAGGCAGAACACTGGAATAGGAATGAATGAATGAATGAATGAATGAATGAATGAATGAATGAATGAATGAATGAATGAATGAATGAATGAATGAATGATAAAATAAGGGCTAACTCCTTTCCAGAAAATGGAAAATGTTCCTAGCAAATAAAGATTGGCAAGGTATGTGCTTTTTGTTGGTTGAATGTCTACCTGACTGGGTACCTGAAGCTACTAAAATTGATTACCTGGAGTTGAGTGGCAGTGAACATTGAGCACTTTGAATTCTCCCTCGTGCTTGAGCAGTTTGACATTGCAGTCTCCTTCAACCGCCTAAGAGTTCAGAAGAAGAGAATTAGTGGGAACAAGGGTAGTTCCAAAGCAATACCTACAAAATACATAGATAGGTAGCAAGACCCCACTTGTGCATATTTAGTTCACCATGCACAAGCGCTTTTGCTTACATTTTACCTCTGAGTCCACAGGTTCACACAACGACACTTAGGTTTCTGGGAAATATTTAGGCTTTGGAGTTTCTGTGACTGAACTAGGTGGGACTGTTAGTGTGCTGTTAGTTGTAAAGGTGTCTCCCAAGGGGTATGGAACATCTGCTGTAGCAGAAGCTTGCCTGACCCTGCCTTTTTGCAAATGAGTCTGCTTTTGTTTTATGATTGGTCGCCAGCAGATACACATGGACTTCATTTGCATGCCTGAAGGAACTGAGAGGAAAATGTTTTTGTGTGTAGCCTAAACCTTTGTTTTGTTTTATTGTGTTACTTCCAGTCATTTTAGAACAGGGGTGTGCAAAGTGCATGCAGCCCCACAAAGATCGAGGAGTCCTGGGTATAATTGTTTCATGATTTACCCCCCCCCCCATCACCTTGCCCCACTCTTAAAATAAGAAAGGGGGAGTTCGGCCACTAGAGGGCGTGAGGTTCCCTCCCTGCCCCAATGTAGCTTGACTATGGAAGTCTTGGCCCAATTGAGCGACACTTCCATGAATCTGCCTTTTTCCTAGTTCCTTAGCAACTCTTCTTTCTACTACATATCTCAAAGGTTAGGAACTATTCCTACATCAGAGAATCACAAAAAAATCCCCAGTGATGCCTTGTTGAAATACGTTCTAGTGTTCAAAATAGTTCTGACAGAAATACAATCTAAAACGAGTTAATTTTAATATCATGAATTAGCCTAAAAGAATGAATTGGATTCTCAGACAATGAATTATGTTTGCCGAGTTAAAGACATGTTTTGAAACTAAAATCTTGTATTTGTCAGGTGTTTGGTGTACCTAAATTTGGAGAAGAGGAGAGTTCCTGATTTTTTTAAATTTTGGTTTAGGTAATACAGAAATTATTTCATTATTTAAATAAATAAATATTTCATTTTCTGTACTTTAAAAAAAAATAACAAGAATAACACAAAAGATAAGCTTTCTGGCTATTCTAGGCAAACCTTTCCTATTTTGGCCACCATCTCTGGAAGTGAAGCCTTCGGGGAATATTCAGAACTAACTAGCAAGCTAACCCTGTGAGGTAGTTTTATCTTTTTACTTAATTTTAGGACGAACCAACAAGCTGTGGCTCTTCTGTCTCCCAGTTTAGCTGACAAACTACTCTGTGTAATTGGTATGTCAGGCTGGGAGAATCCAGTACAAGCCCAGAATCTCTTATTCCTCACTGAAGTCTTCTTTCACTGCTAAAGGGAGTGGATAGAAAGATGCACAGAGAAGCCTAATTTTGAGATGGGAACCCGAAGAAAGAGAGGAATAATATAAAATCACAGATACTTAGAGGAGAGGAGTCCCAAGTGCCCGAAGGAAGGAAGGAAGGAAGGAAGGAAGAAGGGAGGGAGAGAGGGAAGGATGGAAGGAAGGAAGGAAGGAAGGAAGGAAGGAGGCTAACCCTGTGAGGTAGTTTTATCTTTTTACTTAATTTTAGGACGAACCAACAAGCTGTGGCTCTTCTGTCTCCCAGTTTAGCTGACAAACTACTCTGTGTAATTGGTATGTCAGGCTGGGAGAATCCAGTACAAGCCCAGAATCTCTTATTCCTCACTGAAGTCTTCTTTCACTGCTAAAGGGAGTGGATAGAAAGATGCAAATAGAAGCGTAATTTTGAGATGGGAACCCGAAGAAAGAGAGGAATAATATAAAATCACAGATACTTAGAGGAGAGGAGTCCCAAGTGCCCGAAGGAAGGAAGGAAGGAAGGAAGGAAGGAAGGAAGGAAGGAAGGAAGGATGGATGGATGGATGGATGGATGGATGGACAGATAGAAGGAAGGAAGAAATTGCATAAGAGTTTCTCCCTCTGCTCCTCACCCACCACCCAGTGTTTGCAGCTCAGTCACATGTTGACCATTCCTTTCTTCTGGAAGTGCTTTGGAACTCTACAGCTTGCCCAAGGACACACAGGTTGGCTCTTCTTTCCCTGGAGGCACAGCAGGTATGTCGGAGATGTTCAATTTCTATTGCATTTCATTGGTTGGCTGTCTACCGGGGCTAGGATTTGACCCTGAGGAACCTTAAAGGGTTGGGAGCCCCATCGATATTTTGACCCACAGTACTTAGTAGTCCTAAGCTAAAGATGGATCTTCTTATTTGTCTCATTCTACATGGAAGAATGAGGAACAATTCACTTGTGAAATGGTGAGACTTTTTTTCGCTGGTCCCGAGGAAAGTTTTCATATTTTCAGGAATCAATCAATCAATCAATCAATCAATCAATCAATCAATCAATCAATCAATCAATCAATCAATCAATCAATCAATCTATCTATCTATCTATCTATCTATCTATCTATCTATCTAT